GTATAGTGTATGCTTTTAGTCTGATTTTGTGACACCACTGCCCGGCAAGCGACAAGAGACAAAGAAGGCGAAGGCAGCAGAGCAGAGCAAAATATCTGCACCAATGTTGTTTTTGCCTGGATTCTGCCCCAGGTTTGCGACGCGCACGCAATGATTAAATGAGACAAAATTTGCACTCTGTATACAACTTATGACTCTCTTGCTTCCGTGCTTTTGGCCGCATCTAATTTATTTTGCGGTATTTCATTTTTATATAAGATAAAATTGTTTTCTCTCGATCTATTTTCTGCTTTTGTTATACCTTAGGGGAATTAATTACAGTGGGTTACAGATGAAGCACTTTCCACTATCAGGTTAGACGCTTCGCAGGACTGTGTAGAGATTGCCTGTTCTGCTTACTTATTTATGAGAGTGTAAAATACAAACTTGGACATTTTCCCTTCGTGGTATGTTCTACACTGCAGGATGTTTGCTGGAATAAAGCACTAATGTTTTCTGTCTCCTGAAAATGTTGCCATACTGGAGAAGATCACTCTGTAGTCAGTATGGACTCAAAGATCAAAATGAAAGGGGACATAATAGACTTTTGATTGTGTTGTAGTATTTGCCTGGTCCATTTACATTTCAAAATAGTTTTTTAGTGCGATTCCTGCTCGTTTAGGTCATTATTCTTCTTCTACAGCTCCATCTCCTCTGACCACAACTCACATTTTCGTTCTGAATTTGCAGAAGGCATATAGTTCAACATTTGGCAATTTAGGTAAATGAAATATCGGCCTGGTTTTCTTCAGATTTTTTCCCCCCGAATTTTTTGTTGTTGCAATTTCAAAAATACATTTGTATTGCTTTTATTTTATGTGTATCAACAAAAAGGAACAACCGACTGGGCTTTGAAATAATGTTTTTCAGGGATCATTCACTGCTAATCATTCTTTGATGTTTGAGAAAACAGGCAGCACATGTATAACAAAAAAATAATAGTTATGTAACTTATTATTGATTAATCCTTTTTGGAGCTGAAGTTAGCTTACTCTTCTTGTAAACAGGGGGGGTTCGGTGCATTAATTCCCTGTTTCAACTAATTACCGAAATATTAAAACGTGAATGAGTGTTTGGCAAAGGTTTGAAAATAGTAGGGCAGGGCAATATAGGCCAAAACACAATATGAGAAGTAAATATCACAATAACGTTATAGGTCCGGGTACTTTTGTGTTCATTGCGATCCATACATTTTCTATTTTTGAGCAGAAATGGAAAATCAAAACAGGCTATTTTGCACTTTCAGGCAAACGGCAATATACAAAAATGACCATTTTGTTTTTTTTCATTGCTTATAAGACATCTATATTATATCGACAGTAAATTACTAATTTATTTCAGTAAATTACTATATTTTCACTGATCGCACATGCGCGGATATCTCCGACTATAGAAACTTGCGTCCGACCACAACAGCCACAGAGACCATAAATGTGGATTTTACTGCTCTACAGTTCTATGGCTCGTACAGTCTGTAATGTTTAACAATACCATTTGAACGCACCACATACTCTGCTAACATACGCGCAAGCCGACAAATAGTAACGGCTGAATCAACGTGTCTGTACTGTATTAGGACAGAGTGGAAAGTAAACGTAATCATTTAGTGTGAGTGAACACATTATAATGTCCTCTACACTTCTCCATAGACCTCACAGAGACAGCAGCAGCCGCGATTCTGCAGCTGTGTACACAGCCGCGATACGCGACTCCTCTCCTCATTGACAAAAAACCAACGCAAAAAGTAGAGAAATCGGCAATAGCGATCACAATCACTGACATGCTGATTCTCACGGGATTAGTATTATCAGAGGTTGTCTGTGTTTGGACATGATCAATTAGATGATGTATAACATGCCTTGGCAGCCCATTACAGTCAACGCTGCAAGTTAATCTTAATAATTGAAAATCATTTTAGGGGTTACTACAAATGGTCTTGCGGGCCGGATTTGGCTCACAAGCCTGAGTTTGACATGTCTGTCCAAAGCATTGAATACTGATCCAATCCACATGCTGGAGTTCAGCTAGAAGACGTAAACTCTATGTATGACTACTTTTTTTTACCTGGTATCATTTGATTTTGTTTAAAAAAAGAAAGAAAGCGCAACAAAAAAGATGGGAGCCAAAACCAGCTAAATTTCCCCTAACAAATTGGCAGCCCAAATGAGCTAATATCTGGAGACACATATCAAAGATGGAGATTTAATTAAAAATGAAATGTCACGACCTTAACATGCTTATGATTGTTTATGGAAACATATTTTTAGATTGGTCAATAAATCGGTTGAGCAGCATCCTTAAAAAATCCATTTCAGCCCTAAATAGTCTGAGTGCCAGAAATGCGCCTCTGGCCACATGTCCTGTCGGTTTAATAAAATCATGAAGAGATCTCTGTTTTCTGCAGAAACAGTAATATTGTGTGGAGCTCGGGCTCAGACATTGCCTACATGAACAATAAAGCAGCTAAAATAGTCAGTTAGCACATTTAGTTAGAAATTATCTAATGTTATTCTCTTTGCAAAGATGGTGCATTTCTTTAGAAAATATGAACAAGTGACCTCAAACTTTTGAATGGTATATGTAGGCCTGTCACGATTACAAATTTTGCTGGACGATTAACTGTCTCAGAAATTATTGCGATAGGCAATAGTGTTGTCGTTCTGAGATAATTTTCATCTAATACAATGATAATGATGCAGGTACACCTTTTCAAAGAGAAATACACTTTTATTTTTAAAGACCACTGCCGGAAGTGGCAGAAATAAAAAACCGCGAGCATGATGCTAACAGAGTTAGCATCATGCTCGCGGCTTTTTGTGTATAGTTCTTGCCAATAATGCAGCTCTGCAGCGTCTCTTTGTCCAGAGACCTTCCAGATACTTTATATAACAGCAGTATGTGTTCACGGAGGTGCATCATAAGTTTATTTTATTATCAAT